AGGGGATGAAAGTTTGTATGAGACTTTGTCAGTTTTAAACCGATCGGGTTGTAATTTGGCATGCAGATAGATGTTACGACGTAGGCGTCCGCTGTGAAAGGATTTTGATAATTTCCACCCCCAAGTGGGTAAAATAGGGGATGAAAGTTTATATGAGCCTTTGTCAGTTTTAAACCGATCAGGTTGAAATTTGGCATGCAGATAGATGTTATGACGTAAGCATCCGCTTTGAAAGGATTTTGATAATTTCCACCAAGGGGGTAAAATAGGGGATGAACGTTTGTGTGAGGCTTTGTCAGTTTTACACCGATCGGGTTGAAATTCGGCGTGCAGATGGATATTATGACGTAAACGTCCCTTTAGAAAGGTTTTTGAACATTCTCACCCCAAAGTATGATACTTTGCCAGTTTTAAATTGATCGGGCTGAGACTTTGCATGCATAAAGTTACTATGACATAGGTATCTCTTTAGAAAGGATTTTGATAAATTCCACCCCTAAGGGGATAAAATAGGGAATGAGAGTTTGTATAAATCTTCTTAGCCGTTGAATTTAGAATCATTGAATCTTTTTGAATTACATTCGGTAAAACGATGATTTGGGACCTGGGTAACGTATGATAGTTTTTTCACAGATGTCTCACGAGAACGGGAACTATGCGTCAATGCCCCAGGACTCTCTAACTCTTAACCACTGAACTTATTCTAGAGAGATTCGGTACAACAATAGTCGATAGAATAGTTTTTATTACTCAAACCTTACGTGATCGGGCACTGTACTGGTAAGATCCCTGCGGGATTATTTATTTATTGAAACTACGATAAATCATTTCAAAATAGGTAAATCTTACTTGGGCACTGAATTGATTCTGGTTAATTCTGTCAGAAGTCATTAATCTACGCGGACGAAGTCGCGGGCAACAGCTATCTACACATATAATAAATCGTAGAAAAGTCAAAACTGTACATTGAATATTTTTTAAAAGAATATTTGAAGCGTGATCTCTAATCGATACCGAAGCCAATAATGTGGTTTTTAGAATTTTTGTCTGTTTGTCTGTATGTATGGCCGTGATGATCTCAAAAAGTACTGCACTACTATTTCAAATTTTGCATGAATATTACTAACAAGTCTGGTAAACATATAGGCTAATTCAAAAGCCTAAATTCTGCCAGAAGTCATTATTCTACGCGGACGAAGTCGCGGGCAACAGCTAGTATTTCATAAAGTCAATATAAAAAAGCTGCAAGCGCGCCGCCCGCGCGCTGGATTTACGACCTTTTTGTATCGTTTCGAAATCAAAAAACGCCGTGCCGGTGCCGTGCTTGAACCGCGCCGGCGCCGTGCTTATTAGGTGCAATGACCTTGAATCCGCCCCTGGTTGAAAGCCAAGATATTAGTATAATTAGGTACGTAGCAAGAATCTCGATGTTAAGGGTTCCTATAACGTATTGCGCCAAAGTATTTCATGTTATTATCGTTGCTAGTATTGTTATTGCTATTTAAATTAGATTCTAATACATTAGAATATAAGATTGTAATTTGTACTGTACGCTAAAACTCGAAACTGCTCGCTGATATTTGTATTAGGACTTGGTGCTGTACTCAGAGACACTTAATGGACTACTTAAACTGTTTCTGTTCCTGTGTCGTGGTGGCCCGAAGGTTTAACGTCCCCATCTCATGCGTGAGGGTGTAGGTCCCAAACCCACCAACGGCATGTACCAATGTCACTTTTTCCAAGTTACATGTACTTCCTAAGATTGTTTAGACACCACTGACAAACGGTTAAGGAAAACATCGTGAGGAAACCTGGGCTTATAATTTCTAATTATAAGCTTGAAATCGCCAACCCGCATTGAGCAAGCGTGGTGATTAATGCCTGAGTCTTCTCGGTGTAAGAAGAGGCTGTGCTCAGCAGTGGGCATTTATAGGCTGTTGATGTAAACCATTACGACTCGGATAAGTGACGTAATGTGCACCTTTGCCTAGTCCTTCGGGGATAAAAGGCGTGATCTTATGTATGTATGTCTAGAGTCTAGACAGTCACAATCTGTATGTAGTTATTGTGCAAAGCTATCGGCGACATTTAACACTGCCTTCGCTTAAACCGCATATCAGCGCTACTTAATAAAAATACTTATTTTAGATTTATATTTAAATCTAACAATGTCTTATGGCCGCCTTCACCAATCTCCCCTAAACTATCACTTAACTAAAAGTACTTAGCGTGAGGAAAAATGTTACTTATCGGGTCCTCAAGTAAGGACTTACTGGTACTGATTGGTGTCAATACATTTGTCAAAACTAAAATTTTATTAAGCTTCTTATCTCAATCTAGGGGTTCCATTAAATTTAGGAGAAGTTGGTGAAAAAGCCTTTGTATTGTATAGTTGTAGATAATACCAATCAAAATTGTTTTCTTATTATGTTTTGTAAGTTCCACTAGTTTTATTTGGCTTATGAATTGGCTCAAGGTCAAGGTGATTAGGTTGCAAATTAGTTTCTTGCTATAGATTTAGTTAAGGGCTTAATGGCTGTGAAACAGCTTAATGGAAATGTGTAATTGACATTTTAAATGAAAATAAAACATGCGTTGACCTTATCTTTTTGTTTTATTTCTCCTCACACGACGCGACCTTTTGGAAATCCAACAATATATTAAAAACTAGACGTTCTAGTCAAAATATAACAAAATTTTTCTAAACCCCCCTTATGTTACACCTCTTGGAAAGCCACCATTTGTTTATGGTGGACAGGGTTGGAATGGCCATGGGTGAAGTGAGTCCACTTATAAAATGTCAAACATATATCTAATGAATTTAGACAAATACTATAGTCAGAATTTTAATTCGATTCTAGATTTGACATAATCTATTGTCATTTTGTGAAATAATGATACCACATATAAAAGTGTAGTGATAAACACAAAAATCGATAAACAATCAGTGTGTGTATTTTATAATAAATGTTACAGAAAGCGACAGGATAGTGATAGCGATGACGGCGACAATTTATAAAATAAATTGTTACCATAATACATCTATCTGTTTTATTTGTCATGTTCCTTCATGATTACATTTTTTTCTTTATTTTACACACAATTATAAAAGAAAAGTCTCTGATCGTTAATTAATCGTCAAAACTAAATTATCGGTTAACAAATATTTAATTTCCTGATACACTTAGTTTACGAGAGTAAAATTATAAACGAGAAGAATCGATCCAGAAATATTGCATTTCCATATCGAATAATTTCGCAACGTCACTATTTATTACTTGTCATAACGTTGCAACACTGAAATTGTCAAATCTGGAATCGAATTAAAATTCAGAGTATAGTAGGTATTTTTTGAAGATAGATTAAGTTGTTCGTATCTGTTTGATAATTGTTAAGATCCTAGCCAAAAAACAAAAAAAAATCGAACCTACCTCTTGTTATACCCTCCAAAGGTGTCGCGGAGAACCTACCGGGTTACCGGGACTCCAGCTCGACGTGCAGGAGAAGGAACGGGGTGGTTTTTAGCCAGTAAGAGTTTGACACTCCCTTCCGCCTCACCCAGGCGGGAGCAGACATTCGATGATTTTCCCCCCTTAAAAAATCCTCTAATGGTCTCCCAGTGAACAAAGTAAGAATCAGCTGAACTGAGGTCCGCTTATATAACCTCCAAACATCAAAGCTGTTGGAGTATGGGTGGGGATTAATAGAACGCTTAGGGCTAGACTAGAGGTCTAGAGTGGATTAAGGAATAAAATTTAAAGAAAAAAATCAACATTGCAATTTGTAATCATTTATTTAATCATCATCTGAATTAATTAAGTCGACTCATTCAATAAATCACAGTTTGTTAATGCTTAAAATTACATAATTTAATTTACATATAGCTAACAATAATAGATTATTTATTTATTTATTTTATATGGTCATTTATAAATACGTATTCATTCTAAAAGTAAAAATTTAAAGCTGTTACTTTTTTCGTTTAAACGTACAACGGTGAAAATAAGTCCGAATTTTTTAATTTGAAATTATAAGATGACACAAATTATGTTTCCAATTTAGGTAGTAGTAGTGAAGATTACCAAGACCTTTTAAAATATGTTTTTTAAACGTTTCCCCGCACTAAGATTTGTCGTGGGTGCGTTTACAAATATACAAGTTCACATACACGTGCCACTCAGACCCGAAACAACAATCTGTGGATCACACAAAGAGTTGCTCCGTGTGGGAATGGAGCCCGCTACATGTTGCGTGGCAGCCGGTTGCCCAGCTAGCGCGCCAACCGTGCAGTCAATTGACTGAAGTGACAAGAAAATAATAAATATTTATTCATAAATGACCATTCTCTATATCTACAAAACTAATGCTTGTCGATCACACATCTATCACAACACAGTTTAAAAAAAATGTCTTAAATTTACAAACAACTTTTTAAATATCATTATTTTGAACTTAGTTCTGTATTTCTAGAATTTACTACACTTCTCCTAGGTCTAGGACCATAAAGAAAATAGGATATAACTTAAAAATGTTGCTATTATAATGGAATGTCAATTTTAAATTTATTGTCAGAGCAAAAATATTTTAAAAATTAATTAGAAGTAAAAAGGTGTAGAAACGTTACCTAAACAACGTTCCATCTTCAAAAACGGAACACACGCACACATGAATACGTTGACAACGCAACGCGATTCTGTGGTAAAATGAGGCTCATTTGCCACATTTCAATGTGGTACCTAACCTATCGACACCTTTCTAACTTATAACATCATTGTTTTCATAAGTAGATGCAGACAGAAACACATATCATAATATTATTTACAATCGTGTAAAAAGGAACAATAAATGTTTGACAGTTATGAGTTCTACGCAATGAGAAAGCGAGCTTGCCATAAACAAGGTACTATTGCAATTACAGACACAATTTCTTTACTAGCTGTTATTTAAAAAGCTACTAAAAATCCAAAAAATGTCTTTTATATATAAAATCTATATGAAACGCTATATCGTCTGCCAAACCTATAAGAGATACTTATTTATAAAATAAGTAACAGATGCCTGACTTATTATTAAACAAGAATATTCAATATACATACATTTTAATTATTTTATTTCTTAAGAACTAATATTATGTATAATCTGTCCTATCAAAACCCTGTAGTAAACGCGAGTCCTAACAAAAAAGGTTGAAAATATTCGACAGTGCTTACTAGTTGGCGCCAGCGTAGTTTAAAGTCCTGTTAGCCTTATTAACCTTTCGTATGTAGGTATATGAGACACAATATAAATCACATTGTGTCTCGCTTCTTAGTTATCTTGTTAGATCTGCGTATGTATGAATGTACAAAATTATTATTTTGATATCTAGTAAATATTTTCTTGGTCCAATAGACTAAATGCGACACCAGCGCCTCTAGCGGTGCGACAACTCTCACTAGGTTAAACTAAAAGTATTCACAAGTATGGTCATAAGTCTGTTATGTTTAAAGTCAAAAATATAATTAAATAGTGTCTAAGTATATTCTAAAATTATGGGTCGAATATTAAGATTAATTGTAAGAATATCAATATGTATTCCAGGATGTTTCTAAGTTTAACATTGCATATAAAACAGTACACTCTACATAACAATCTCTTCTTTTAAGGGTCTATTGGTCACAATTCTAATGTGTGATGTACGACTTCCAACGAATAACTTATTTAAATTAACAAACAAATTAGCAAACTAGTTATTTTAAATCCATTTTCTGTCTCAGACAGGATACCGGGAACATTTCAAACAACAACATTAATAATTATTTTGGTGACAGAAAAACACGTGAGAGAGGAAATTTTATTCTATACGAGCTTTCGTCTCTTTAAAGTATAAAAAAATCTTTATGGGGCCAAACTATATTATAAGCCGCCCGTTTCCACCAACCTATCTTAAGCTCTAAGTCACTCCTAAGCTAAGATAGGTGACACTTCACGACATTATGGTTATCAGCAACCTATAAGTGACACCATACGGTAAGGGGTTAATTAAAGTTCTCCCTAACGCTAAGTATGTCTTAGTTGATAGATAGTTTGGAGGTGTTTGTTGGAAACGACCAGAAGTTTAGAGAATTGAAGAATTTTGTCTTTATCTACCAGCAGATTAGACAATGCATCCCGGCTTTACCTCATATAAATAAGCACAAAGAACTAAGTATTGTACGTACACAGCTATGGCTAGATTGGTCAGTCTGTTTAGAACTTGGTGGTGACGACTTGTCTCTTCTCTTCTATCACTCCGTTGGTCTGTGGTTCACTCTTCACATTGAGAGAACTGTTCCTGATGCCGTAGAAGAAGTAGATCATGTAACCTGGAATTAGGAGATGGGATTTAAAATAGCTATACAATAATTATTCTAGTTTATTTCTTTCTTGTGAACTAATAAAGCTACAGAAGATAACTTTAATAACTTACCGATAGCGAGCCATATGATGAACCGCACCCAGGTCTGGTAGTCCAGCTGCACCATCAGGTACACGTTCATGCAGACGCTCAGGTATGGTACCAAGGGCACCAATGGCACCTGTAATAAAAGATCAGATTAGTATAGATTAGCTTTGATACCGTAAAACTTGAAGTAGTAAGAATTGGGAAAAGAAAGAAATATTTCTCGAGCGTTTTTTATGATGATGATGATGTCCAAAATTATGATAATGATCAAAAAACTCTTCTAACAAACAAAAATAAGTAAGAAAGTTTCTAGTTTTTAGACCGGTCGTCAAAGTCTATACTCTACTAAAGTCTACGATAAATCCTTTATAATTTTTTTTTGTGGGATTAGCCGGTAAACGGATCGTCGAAAGGATCACCAGAGGCGTTACAAGTGCGTTACCGGCCTTTTGGGGATTAGGCATTTGAGGATTGTTGGACCTACAGTAACCTCACTCATACGACGAAACACAACGCAAGCGTTGCTTCACGTCGGTTTTTTGTCTTTTTGGCCTTGGTATCACTCCGGTCGGGTATAGCTCTCTCACACTTAAGCTATTGCTACATTACCATGCAAGTAACACAACCCAAGTTTGTGAAATGACACTGAATGGAACACTGCCCGCGACAATAGTGTCTAGGTCACTGCAGCAGAACATCGAAGGAGAGGTTGGTTGCTTCTATTTTCAAAGTCTATAACAAAAGTGATAATCTTACCGTGAAGGACAGGTTCTCGACGCTGTTCCTCGGCTGTCGGTAGAGCACAACAAGCAGAACCAGCAGCGCGGCGCCCAGCACACCCAGCGCCGCCTCCGCCTGCTCCCAGCGGAGCAACGCGCATGTTGCTAGCGCCACCACAACTGAAGGAGAAAGAAGTCATAAATGAATTGGTCTTATAAATTATATGATTAGAAAAACAATAATTCAAGGGTTCAGGGATAGAGGTATAAATACTTCGTAAGAATATTAATCCAAATATTCCAAATACAGAGAAAGTGGACTTGATATAAGATGTTAAAAGTATTCGAAATGACGATTCTGAGAAATATGTCAAAACCAAATAGGCACGTAACTTTATGGATAGGTACCTAATAATTTACTTAAAATACAATTTGATGACAATGCACCTGATTCGCAACCAACAAAACGAATGCAAGCAATTAAGTGGGACTTACAGAATATCATGATAGTGCACTTGGCGATGACGTATGAGAGCTGTGTGGGGTACTTAAGTCCGAGCAAGTTGAACAGCTGCTTGAACACGGTGAATGGGGTCTCAGGGGCTGGCTTCGTAGCGTGCAACTGGATGGTAGACTCTTCTTCATATCTGTAACGTAAATCATTGTTTACAATAGAACTCTCGTAAAAAATGATGGAAGGATGAGTTTTTAAAACTTTTCAAAGATAAAGTATACAAGTGCCTAAAGTAAAAATAACGAAAGAAAATATATTTACCTTAGAATAAGTACACTGGTAGCGACGATGGTGTAGGCCAGGAGTGTTCCAATGGACATCATGTCGATCAGCTGGTTCAAGTTGAACAAGGCAGCCATTATTGCTGAAATAGAAATTGATGAACATCAAATAACGTCCAATACAAATCGTTCCGTATTGAAATAAACTACATAGGTAAATGGGCCTGTAACAATGTGTACTTGACAACTTTTTATTGTTGTTTCCAGTTCAGAGCAAAGCAAATTGATATTACTGAGACAGTTGGAATACAATGCACAGATATTTTTATTTTTTCATAAATATATCTACTTTAATGTGAAACACGTGTCACGTGTTATAACTTATTCTTTGTTATAAGTAAGAAAAAACTACAACAATGTTCATATTTTATAGCTACTCATTGCAGTACAGTTTAGAATCTATACAATATTATGAAACTAAATCAAGTGAAACAAGACAGACATGAACAAAGTACAACAAAACAGCAGAAACAAAATTTATATAATTACGGAAATCGTGCCGATAATCGTCAAAACCTGCTGTCAGGCTGTCATAAGAACCGATTAAGGATCTACAGTAAAGACATTCAACAGAGGTAGCAGTGTTCTCAGGTAAACCTACGGAGGAGGCCTCATAGTCCAGCACTGGACTTTTACAGGCTACTGACGTATTGATGAAGTCGATGAATAAAATACAAACCTGCCAAAAGTCCACTTAAAATAGTAGCCATCACTGGCGTCTGAGTCCTCTTGTTGATGGCAGCTAGAGGTCTGAAGAGCACGCCGTCACTACCCATGGCGTACAACACCCTGGGCAGCGGGAACATGGCTCCAAGCAGACTGGTGCAGAGGGCGAAGATAGCTCCGATGGTGACGATCCATTTGATGACTGGTAAATTGGCCTCCGTGAATACATGGGGGAAGGGAGCGTCTGCGTCCTGGAAGGAAATATTAATAGTTTAATGAAAACGTTTACGGTTGTCTCAAAAGTTGGTAAATCAATAGATTACAACTAAAGCTAGGTTAAAAGATCCAGAATTCACAGATCAAAATTAAATATAAGGTTAAAGTTGTGAATAGACCGTATTTCCAAGACAATTAAGAATAAAATACAACAACTAACCTGAAGATAATACGGCAGCATCATAGTCAACACCGTAGCTATACTGAAGTAGGACACAAAGATCACGACCAGGGACAGTACGATGGACAGGGGGATGTCTCTCTTGGGGTTCTTAGCTTCCTCGCCGGTGGTCGCCACACAGTCGAAGCCCACGAACCCGAAGAAGCACTTGGCAGCACCGGCCATGATGCCTGCGACTCCCCAGGGTGCAAAGCCACCAGCACCAGCTTGACTTTTGTATTCATCTGGTATATCTTCAAGAGGTATCCTCCAATAGGCTGGGTTACCTGATAATGAAAAGAAAAGAAGGTTATAGGACTTCGAAATCAAAGTTAATCCTTAAATATATCATACAGATAAGCAAAATATTGATTGAGTTGTCCAGTTTTGGAATTTTCCATCACGAGAGTGGTTGCAAGACGCTCCCTCTTTGTTATTCGTTTAAACATAGATAATGATATAGTTTAGAACCGTCACCTTATAACTGCTGTGACGTCTGAATTTACTTGGGTTGTACCTTGAGTAGGTTAGAGACCAGTATTGCTTTGTCATTAATTAAGCATAGGTACCTACTTGTTTGTCTACATGTGGTATCACTTTGTTCAACCACTTTACTGTCGCTGTGTGTTTTTCTTACATTTAGACTTTTGCACAGGTCTCAGCACATCAAGCTACCCTACTGTTGGTTTCAATAGTGGATTTTCAACGTTACTGCGTAATTATAAGATTGCAAGTCCTTTAAATAAATTAACAGATTGGGTTACTTTGAAGAGCTGGTGTAGGTACGAGTGTGTATAATTGTTAAATCCTTCCAATTTTATCTTATCAAAATATATCATTGCTCTTGAGTGAAGTACTTAGATTACATTGCATTGTTGCGGTTTGCAATTAATTTCTGACGACAAGAGATTGTATTACCTTCTAATAGAGGTATACCTATGGTAAAAATATCTGCCCGATCCTTAAAGCTATTTACTTGGGGATTTATCTGGAATAGATTACCTATTATAGAATGTAATTTTATGCATTTTGTAACAGAGTTTGAATCATCCTTTACGATCGAAAAGAATTCCCAATACAAATTGTAGCTCACATTTGAATTTGATATATTGTCCAGTTCCTCAAAGTCTTCCAGAAGTGATAGATCATCCTTTATCTTTATACCTAACCTAGGAGTCTAGACTAGATCATAAACCATTGCGGTCTATATATACGAGGGACGGGCAGTGATCCATTTTTCTCAATTGACTCGCATCCGTGGGAGACGTTAGACATAGCAGGATCTGGATTTTAGATTGGTTAATGACTCCACGTGGACATTGCGTTAGGAAGTTTACATTACCTGTGTCTGGTGCATTTGCAGTGGTATGTAGGAAACTGTCGCATAATTTCCTTATTATTAATATCAACTAGTACCTTTGTTTAAAGAAATAGATCGAATGGTGAATAAGAAACAATGATTGTTTCAGTTTGAAAATGGGAGTGAATTGAATAGTGAAAGAATGTGAAACGATCACTGTTAAGACAGTTACCTATGGTTTAAAAAAGAGAGAGAGAGACAGAGGGTAACGAAATGAAATACTATTTTGTATATCCAAGATAAGAAGCAGTTCTACAGCAAATTGTAAAAAAGGAAATTGGAAACGATTTACAATTTGTTTATGAGGTCAGCCAATAAATATAGAAGGTGTTACAACTGGAAACTGACATAAAATAACTTTAATACCCATTTATTATCGCCATCGATAAGATTTTATTATATTGCGAAATACTTAGCGGAAGGATGCTAGCAGCTACCTAGTTGTTAATTAAAATTACTAGTCAAAACTCAATTATTCGAACAAAGGAGAATTGTTTGATAAATTCACAAGTCTCTCATAGTAGTATATTGAGTTGTTAGATATTTAAAACGAAAATTGCCCGTTTCAAAGCTGATTCTCGTGGACATGAATGTCAAATTTATGAAAAGCTCATGGTATATATATTAAATTTTCAGCAATAGATCAATGGTGTTTAGTTTACTGATTGCCCACTAAAAAAATACCTAGAAGTAATACTCACTCTTGACGGCTCCAGCAATGACGACGATGATGACAGTGACGAGGTTCAACGCTGTGAATACGTTGTTCAGCTTCGTCGACTCCTTCACACCAATGCCCAGGAGTACTGGAACCAAACATTTTTGATATAGAGAGCATAATGGACATTAAACCAAGAAGATAAGCTTTGGAAAAAATGATTTTGATATGAATGGCGAAAATTTTATACTTTATTAGTTCAGCAGGTTTCATTTGGTTTAAAATCATGATGGCACAGTACAAACTACAAGTAAACTAACTAAAGAAAAGGATCAGAAACTTACCAGTTATAAGCATAACAAGGGCAAAGGCGAAAAAGTCAGGATAATCAGCCATGAAGGAGATATTGATGGGAGCAGCTTCAGTCATGGCTCTGGCCATGGAGTTGTTGCACAGACTGTCTATGTACAACGCCATGCCTTTCGCCACGCTGGCTGTACCGATCACGTACTCCAAGATGAGGTTCCATCCGATGGTGAACGCGATGAACTCGCCCACGCTGACGTAACTGTACACGTAGGCTGAACCTGCCTTCGGAACCCTGGCTGCGAATTCAGCGTAGCAGACACCTAGAAATAAGGAAAACATAAGGTAGGTTATTACGCATTACTTACAAAGGGATTTTAGAGGTATTATGGAAAGGAAACATAGCCTATAGATGCTATGGTACTCTCCCACTTCATAACTAATCACCACGTCGTAGCGTAGAAGAAAAAAAAAAACAAGTAAACACACTTATTATAGCAAAGATTATGGTACACTCAGTTTTGTCATATGCTACTGTTTTTTATGTGAGAAATACTTTATAGTATAGTTGCGTAATATAAGAACTATAAACGATTACATAACAGCGGCAATGGTTTTGCGATAGTATGCTCGTTTGCATCCTATTCTATAAAAAAGTATGCACGTTTAATCAATAAATCCCCTACATTGGGACAGGCTTGCTTGTAAATTTTGGGGAAACGTGTATGACAATGTGGCCCTTCTTAATTTCCTGATCCTTTACTTTGTAACTTGCCATTGTTCCTACTGCTACTACTACTGATTTTGTACCTAAATAATTATATAAATGGCACTTGATACTTTAAAGTATCGTTTAATCTACCCGATTGATTGTGTCTACTGCACAGTTTCTCACTATACACTACATAGATACTATGATTTATGTGATTTAGATATTGTTTAATAAATTACCAATTGATACTCGTCAAGTATTGTTACTTTGTCTAGAGTGGACTGTTTATTGATTTTATCAAAGAACAAAGATTTTAACCGATCATTGTCTTAAAAGGATCAAGTAAAATGACAAAGTAATTGCGTTGGATTTCTAAAATTGAAGTATTTGACTTTCTTTTACCAATATCTGGAAAAAAGTGAGTATATCTACTGCACTATACTTAAGATGTTCCTTAGGTAACTGTATTAAATTAGCTAGATAGGAATTATTATAGATCATAACCAATATCCGCATGTTAAACCAAATGGACCTACTTATTGAGTTGAACCAAAAATAATGACAAAGATGTAAGACACAAGGAAGTGAATATAATTTTGTGGACTACGTCATGACATTTGGCCATGTTCGCACCATCGCAGCCTACAGCCAGTCAGGTATAACCTTGTGTAGGGACCATTCACACCGCTCACTCTTGCGTATAATCACTTCTATGATTAAAAGCAATAACTATATTTAATAGACGTTGAGTAATATGTATTTGTTCACCCTTTTTAATGTTGACGCGTATTTCTATGCAATAGTTTTGAAATTGAGGTACAAAATTAGATATTTGAATCAGAGGACGTTTTGCAGTAGAATTTGAATTTGCTAAAGTACACACATTTGATTTGTAACTTTAATTAATCCTATCTATCAATTCATTCTAAGCGATAGTAAATGTTCTATTGAGATAACAAAAACACAAGTTCAGTGTTATAAACGAAAACCTTGCCGTTAGCAGCTGCATCTATGTGTTCTAAAAAGTGCTATCCTTACGAAATAGGCATTAAAATTGATATTTATAAAATGGAACTCACCAGCAAAAGCCGAGGCTACAGCAGCGACCAGAAAACTGATACACACGGCGGGACCAGCCACGGTCTTCGCGACCGCTCCTGCTAACACATAGACGCCCAGACCTAGGGTACTGCCGACCCCAAGTGCTGTAAGGTCTAGTAGACCGAGACATCTGGCCAACTGACTACTGTTGTCACCATCTTCCAGCTGCTTGCACCGACGTAACGCGTTGAATATCCGACCACAACCCATCTGGAACGAAACAACAATATGGTTAAATTCTTTTAGTTCAAAAAGTTTAAAAAAGAGGTTTTACTGCCAGCTTTAAATAGGAGCATTGACTCACACTGTGGCCCTAAGTATGAGATCTATTGTTGTTCTATAATAGTGTTTTATTTACTTTTCATTAATAAAATCTTGAATTTCATCAAATATCGTTTAGTACTTTTTAGGCAAAAGCGCAACAAACGTTCACATTTTTACACTATTTATGTAGTCAAAGGTCCACTGGCACCGTGAGTGATGTTCACACGGCAATGCGTAAGTAATTTCATATTAATGTGCATAAAAACGCGTGCGTACGCAAAAACACACGCACGCGTACGCACACGGATAAAAATATGCGTGAGCATCTATATATATAAAATTCAAAGGTGATTGACTGACTGACTGATTGACTGACTGACATAGTGATCTATCAACGCACAGCCCAAACCGCTGGACAGATTGGGCTAAAATTTGGCATACAGATAGATGTTATGACGTAGGCATTCGCTAAGAAAGGATTTTGATAATTTCCACCCCCAAGGGGGTAAAAAAGGGGATGAAAGTTTGTATGAGACTTTGTCAGTTTTAAACCGATCGGGTTGTAATTTGGCATGCAGATAGATGTTATGACGTAAGCATCCGATGTGAAAGGATTTTGATAATTTCCACCCCCAATGGGGGTAAAATAGGGGATGAAAGTTTGTATGAGACTTTGTCAGTTTTAAACCGATCGGGTTGTAATTTGGCATGCAGATAGATGTTACGACGTAGGCGTCCGCTGTGAAAGGATTTTGATAATTTCCACCCCCAAGTGGGTAAAATAGGGGATGAAAGTTTATATGAGCCTTTGTCAGTTTTAAACCGATCAGGTTG